ACACTACAGTCTATCGTTATGTATGTAGATATTTCAACACTACAGTATCGTTATGTATGTAGATATTTCAACACTACAGTATCGTTATGTATGTAGATATTTCAACACTACAGTCTATCGTTATGTATGTAGATATTTCAGTCTGTCGTTATGTATGTAGATATTTAAGTCTATCGTTATGTATGTAGATATTTCAACACTACAGTATCGTTATGTATGTAGATATTTCAGTCTATCGTTATGTATGTAGATATTTCAGTCTGTCGTTATGTATGTAGATATTTCAGTCTGTCGTTATGTATGTAGATATTTAAGTCTGTCGTTATGTATGTAGATATTTCAGTCTGTCGTTATGTATGTAGATATTTAAGTCTGTCGTTATGTATGTAGATATTTCAACACTACAGTATCGTTATGTATGTAGATATTTCAGTCTGTCGTTATGTATGTAGATATTTCAGTCTGTCGTTATGTATGTAGATATTTCAACACTACAGTATCGTTATGTATGTAGATATTTCAGTCTATCGTTATGTATGTAGATATTTCAGTCTATCGTTATGTATGTAGATATTTAAACTTTTCTTTGTTTCCATCTATCAGGTCATCATCTATGTGAGACGCAACAGTGGAAGACGAAATGTTGTGAGGAAAGCTCTTATCGATGAACGTTTTCTCACCTGAATAACTTTCTGAATTTTCTCTCCTCTATTTTCCAGTGATCTCTGCACTTTAATACTTGATCTGTATCTCTCTTAAAGATGAAAATATAAAAATAATTTATTAATTAGATTTCATATTTGTGCTCTGGTGTACTCACGCTCTATGAAAAAAAATGTAGAACTTTGAAAACAACTTCGTATCGGGATATGTGACGTCGGACTTTGACAAAAATCACAGCTATGATGTACGTCATTATTGAAAGTTAACGTCACTGTTTTAGAACACTTAGATCTTCCCACGCTTATTGTTGCTTTAACTTTGATCACTAGTAATGAATTAGAGTAGACGGACGGTACAAACGTACTTGTAATCGATCCTTCTAACAGTTTCTTCTCTTATTGACATTTGTTCTCTTGGTGGTTTTATCCAGATTCCTCGTCTACATCTAAACATGAACTTAAAAATAAAAATTGATCTATGACAAAAATATGGGTTTTTTTGAAAGTAGGTTTTTTTAAAGATCCGTAGACTCGTAATGAGTGCACAAAATTTGATGTTAGTGTCAGATGTCAGCAGTGGATTGTAAACAGAAGTTTTAAGCCTATTGATTGTTTTATTTTGTGTTGTATTTCAGTACCTGATAATAATAAGATTGTTTAATTTTTGTACTAAAAGTAATAACAGTATCATGAAACAGTTACGAAAGCAGCACTCATTTAAGTTTCAGTAGACGTTATTTTGTTTCATTCTCGCCATTTGTTTTACGGTGAATAAATATTTGTTCTTGTTCATGTCTTCGTAAAGATATAAATTACCACAAACTTTCCTCGTGTCAAAAGTAAGATAAACAACCCATAATAGTAATTATAAACTTATCGACCATTTCAACGAGTTTCTAAAAACATACCTGGTAATGATGAAAGTCCCCCCCCCCCCTTCTCAGTGTGTCGTTGGTAAGTTTATGGAATTTAGCGCAGAAATTCGAGGCCTGGCTTTTCCTGTCATGGGCAGAGCATGTATTGTCCATTGTCAAGCTTTACATTAAAATCAAAGAAACTAATGAAGATGAATATCTGTATTCATTAAAAAGTTCCTTGAACTTGAAAATAAAAATGTAACTTTTGGTTTTTTCTCATGCAAGTTTTCTTGTATACTTCGATTATTTAAAATTGCTTTTTTTTTGTGGAAAAGTGGCCTTAAAAATTACTTACAAGAACATTGATTTTTATCAATCCAGTGATAAGCAAACCAATGATACTAAGAATTGTTTTTTATCTAATGTTTCAGAAAGTATTTGGTAGAAGTAAAACATTTTAATTATTTATATATAATTCTGTTATTTGTCTTTTTTTTGTTAGTGCACACATATGTGTAGAATATTTAACTTAGTTATATTCTTGTTTCTTTGATGATAATGGACACCATTTCTTTCAGATTTCCTGAGTAATTATATTCCATTGTTAGGAGATGCATCTTCCAAAAGTTAAAGCTTTAATGAATGGAGGGTTGAGATTATTATTTTTCATACAGTTTAAGTTAAGGGATATGATGCTTAGTGTGTGAAGAACAAAGATTATTTTTTAATTAGCTTGAAAAGGTTTTTTTTGTTGTACAAAACTTGAAGATAGCTTTGATATACGGAAACATCTGTTAGCCGAGT